AAAATAGTACAAAGACAACATATCAAATGCTAAAAAAAAAATTTTTTTCATTTTCTGCAAAACATGTTTACCACTGTGTTGCATCAGCTCTTTTTTTTAACAACACTTTGTGAGCTTTTGGGAACTGAGGAGACAAATTGCTGTAGTGTGAATGTGAAATGTATTCCCATTCTTGCTTAAAATAGGATTTCAGCTGCTTTACAAGTTCGGGGTCTCCTTTGTCATATTTATCATTTCATAAGGTGCCAAATGTTTTCAATGGGTGACAGGTCTGCACAGCAGACAGACCAGTTCTTCAACTGGACTCTTTAAATATGAAGCCATGCTGTTGTAATATGTGCAGAATGTGGTTTGGCATTGTTTTGCTGAAACAAACAAGGCCTTCCCTGAAAAAGATATCATCTGGTTGGCAGCATATGTTGCTCCAAAACCTGTATATATCGTTCAGCAGCAATGGTGCCTTCACATATGTGCAAGTCACCCATGCCATGTGCTCTAATGCACCCCTTTACTATCATGGATGCTGGCTTTTGAATCATACACTGGATGGTCTCCCTCTTTAGCCTGGAGGATGTGGCATCCATGATTTCCAAATAAAATTTCAAATTTTGATTTGCTGGAACACAGGACATTTTTCCACTTTGCCTCACTGTCACTTTGACCGAAGGCTCACAGGACTTTCGGAGAAACACATTTTAGTGCTTTCACTGCTTTAACACAGACATTACAAAAAGTCAGGGACTGTTAACGAGCTGGGCAGCCCAGTTTTCCAAAATACTATTATTGTTAAGTTCTCCCAGGGCTAGCATTGGGAAACACTGTGCTAACCCACAGTGGTCACTAACATTGGTAATTGTGCAGCCACAAGCTCCCTTAAAACCATCAAAAATCACTTCCACACAAAACAACCAAGAATCACTTTGGACAGAATTATCCTCAGTTTGGCGAGTGTTAAAATGTCACTAGCTAATGTTCCAGTACCGCCAAAGTTTACACTTGTCACTTCCTCTGAAACACGATCTGCTTTAGAATGTCCCATCCACTCATTGAAAAGAGTACCTAGCTGACAGTGAAAATAAAATTGCAAACAGTTTGGAAAATGTGTATTAGGTTGGAAAATGTTACACACAGAAATGCAAAGGCAAATACACATTTCTATTTGAATTTGAATTTTGTCTTAAATAATGCACTTTCATAGGGAAAATGCAATTGTAAACACAAGTGAATTAGCATTTTTATATTCGCATTTGAGGTTTCAAATTTGCATTTGCAATATCATGCGATTTAGTCATCTTGAGTTTTCCCCAAAAATACAGTGGCAGTAGTGGCATTTTGTAATGTGGAATGTTTTTCTGGAACATATTAGGGTGCCTGATAGAACAGAAGAATTCTGCCCACATTTAGACCTTGAAGGGATAAATGTGGACACTTCTAGCATAATAATACGCATGTCCAAAGGCAAATTTGATCACCGAATTGTTCCAGTAACATGACTTGAGTTTTCTTTGCTTTTTTGCATTGAGAATAAAGCAATAAGCCATAAGAGGCCTTGCGATACAGTTATTTCATTAATCCATCAGTTACTAAGAAGTCGCACATATTTTACATTTCAAGTGTCTGAAAAACACATGATCACAAATGCACATAACATCATATGAATATGTGACCACATGTAACATTTCATGACCTGAAACGATGCAAGATCACAACTTTTTTTCATATGAAAACATTTTTTATGTTTTCACATGTGATCACAAAATAACATGCAAGGTCTCTAAAAAACGTGAAATCAAAGGTGAAATTCATGAGTCTTTTTTTTTTTAAGGGAGGGTAAAATCCCTGTAACACATGGTCTTACACAGCTTATTACCTTTATTAAATGGCAACAACACACAATATGATAAAACACAGTGAACTTAATGATTACATTTATTAATAATATGATCAAAATTAACAATTCTTCTTATAAAAAAGTCACATGCATTTTATATCTGGAAAAAAAACATTTTTGCACACTTCACATTTTAAAATTGTGTTATCACATGAGAAAATGTGTTTACTTAAGAAAAAATGTGTTTATATCTGAAAAAATGCAATCACGTGAAACTGTTTGCATGTAAAAAACATGTAATTACTGTAGTTTTTGCACACTTCTAATGTGTAATATATGTGACTTTTCAGTAAGGGTCTTCTGCCAAGAAATCTAGTGTGAGTTTGCTGTTTTTACAAAGCATATTTTACATTCATACGTACACATACAAATGGGCTGCTGAATGAGGACAAGAACTTTGTTGCCCAAAACTGTATACCGCAGTTAACTTTAAATTTTTGTCATATAACCATAACTGTTCATAAATACAGGAGTGTACAAATGTTAATTTTATGAATAGCTTTTGCCTATCAAGTTATTGAATTATATTGCTCAAAATTCTATAGAACTCTATATTTATTCATGTACCATATTTTGCATATTTAATTGGCTTGCAGTTATTTCACATCAATGAAGCTACAGAACCATTTTTTCGAATACCTCATTTACACGCTCACACATAGGCATTTATCTAAGAGAAAATTGCTAATAGGGAAATTAAGCATGAATTGAATATGAATATTGTGTGTGTGTGTGTGTGTGTGTGTGTGTGTGTGTGTGTGTGATTCAGTCAGATTATACATCAAATGAATGGTTACAATTCTAAAATCTGACTGATGCCATTTTCAAAGCCATTGAAGAATATTCTATATACAACTTTGATTAAACCATTTGTGGTTGTGGTTGCACATGTGGATACTGCAAGTTTGATCTACAGCAGCATATTAAAAATGTAAACTTTTGAAGTCATTTTTGTTTTACTTGGTGAGTTAATAATGGGCAAAAGGTATGAAGAGATAAAATGAGAAAATGAGAATGCTGAAATTAATGATAAGGAAGTATTAGAAAAATTGAGAAGTGAAGAGGGTGAAACAGATAATGTAGGCCATAGCTAAAAATAGCTATATTTTTCAGACTTGGTGTGCTGAGACAAATATAACTCAGATTATTAATATTGCCTAACCAGATTCAGATCAGAGAGGGTCAAGACAAGTCAGTCACCACCAGTCTATAATGGACAAAGGTTTTATTAAAAGCTGGCACTCCAAACACACGTCATAATGGTTTGGTTTGATGTGCAACTATATCTGGCACAGAGAGCCAAAGGGGGAAACTGACAACTAAAGATTGAATAATTTGTCATCCCAAGGTGGATAATGGTTTGAAGTATGCCATCTTGACTATTAATGAAGTCACCAAAAACCAAGCCCCAAGGCCTGTTGCCTCTTTGGAGCCTAAATCAGCTTTTAAGGTGGGTTAGCTGTAATATTATGCTGAGTATGTACTGAATTAGCCCAGGTAAGCCTGTAGAGCTTGTCAAAGCAAGCTATAAACAGAAGGGAAAGGTATATCGTGTTTCAGTGAGTATCATATGAAGAACAGATTTCTTTTATTTCTGACTTCTTTTTATTTGCCCTCATTCTGTACATGGAAATACACTTACACACTGGGGAAACACAAGGGGGTACATTCTTCAAGCACCCAGCAGAATATTTGCCAAGAATAAGGAACTGTTTTTCTCCACGGTATCTAGGTACATTTAGCTAAGCTCTCCAATGACTTTAGTTTAGCCTAAAGGTTAAGAGAAGTCCTAACACATTAATTATCAGCATAATTACAAATTGACAGTGGATTCTACCAATCAGGTTTGGAAGGGTGGGACCAATTCCGTGAGAAAAACGTCACTCTAAGCTTTCTGGATACATCAGAACTTTTAGATACATCCTTGACTGAATAGCAGTGACTGCTTAATCAATGGGTTGTTAGAAACAGAAAACAGCAGGTGCGGCTCTATAGACCAGTGCAGTTCGTGTTATGCCCACTCCGGATCTAAGCTTGAATTCTCTATGACGAAAAATTGTCTCTATTGAGTCTTGTGGTAAATAAAAATCAGAACCTGATATATTTTTCGTCCTGTGTGCATTATTCTCTCAAATATCACTGAATCCTTTGAATTATGAGGTCATAAAAGAGTCATAATACTATCATTGAAAGCTAATGCTACTGCACAACGATTTCTTGTCACTAAGCTACACTAAAGTAAGGCAGGCTATGGAGGCATTCTGACAAATTGCTACTTTGTCAAAAAAAAGTTTGACAAATGCTACTTTGTCAAAATGTCCTACCGTAGCACATATTTATAGGTAGCCCTTTATATAAAACCTCTAGGTAGGATCAAAAAATAATACCAGCATTAAAACTACAAGGCTGAAGTTTTGCCGGCTTCTTGTTTGAATTTTCTTGCTCCACCTTAAATGGTGAAGCAGTTGTGATTAGCTATCACAAACATTAGCAAATGGGAAAAAAAAAAACAATACTATTAATATCTATTGGTTCTGTGAAACAGCAAAAATAAGTTAATATTACCTCTCAAGCAGAAACAGAGCAACCTCATCATCCCTTTTCATGCCTTTCAACTATCGAGGAAGCTGCTCAGCTTCTTTTTCACCAGCTACTTGTACAAATTTTCCTGTTCCACCTTAAATGGTGCAGCAGTTATAATTAGAATGCCTCAGTGCCAGAATGTAATGAAAATCAATGGAAAAGTTTCCAGATTATTTACATAAATAAACGTTATTTATTGAACTCCAGGGTTTTTTTTTTATCATTTGTCATCTTGTTATGAGGATTTGCATTGTGCCTATTTACCCATGATAAAATCACTGTAACAAACAACCTCTTATGTACACATATATACTACAATGCAAGACTATATTCCTAGTCAAATATTGGTTTTATTAACTTGGTAATATAATTGTTGTAATTTTTTCACGTATCTAGGAATATAACAGTTAACATGCACTGGGGGAAGAACTCCAGCTGGTAACTGTCAAAGGCTAATAGTCTTGTTATTAATTTTCAAATGCATGATGAAGAATGAATCCTAAAGCTTGTGTGTTTCTCCCACCAGTTCAAGCTTTCCATCAGGAACATTTCCTTTCTACTCTCTCATAGAAGTCACTAGAGTGTGGAGGGGTGACAGTGGCCTGGTAAATTCTGACCTTTGATCCAGTGTGGGTCCAGGCCAGTGAAGGACCAGCGATGTACCAGGAGGTGGCCTTCCTTGCAGGCAGCACTGAGCATCAGTTTACCACCTTCCACTTCAATCCTTTAAAGAGCCCTGTGGAAACGGGTACCAAGAAGAGTGTCTTCTACAAACGTGCCAGACAGCTGCCATGGCCTTCTGGGCAAGAGGAAGAGATTCGTTGTAGAACAGCCATTACAGACGAAACTTTCTTGACTGACAGCACTGCCATTATTAACGTAGGTGGTATCCGTTATAGTATCCCATGGGCGACGCTTGAGGACTCCCCGCTGACACGTCTAGGGAAGCTGAGGAGCTGCAGCAGTGCTGAGGAAATCTTGGATTTGTGTGATGACTACGATGCACGCTGCAATGAGTTTTTCTTTGACCGCAGCCCAAATGCCTTCCGCTGCATTGTGACTTTCCTAGCAGCTGGAAAGCTGCGGCTCCTGCAAGAGATGTGTGCTCTATCCTTCCAGGAGGAGTTGCTGTACTGGGGTGTGAAGGAGGCCAGTCTAGCTTGGTGCTGCCTGAGGAAGCTGCGGCTCAGGCAGGAAGACCAGCGAGAGCACTTGCGGCAGGAGGAAGAAGAAACCGAGCTGTTATTACTGCAATCCTGTGAAGAGGCACTGGGGCCAGAGGGCCAGGAGGAGGGCCGTCTAGCTGGGTGCATGCACAACCTAAGCAACATGGTTGAAAACCCACACTCAGGCCTGCCAGGGAAGATCTTCGCCTGCCTGTCTGTAGTGTTTGTGGCCATAACAGCAGTCACCCTCTGTGTCAGTACAATGCCAGACCTGAGAGAGGAAGAGGAAAGGGTGAGTGAATGCTTACATACCTAGCAGTATGTTTTGGTGTCCAGAACACAGATTAGACCAATAGTCCAGGACTATAGAAACCTATCAGTAGAGAACAATTCTTCTCATAAACAGTAAGAACATCTGGTTTAAAACAGGCATAACATGGCTTGTAACAAAGGCAAAGTCACTCTGTCTTTCTGCTGTCTAATGGTACAGTGTGCTGTGAATGGTGTTCTTCATAAACATCTGAAAAAGATTAATCCTAGTATGTCCACTGTGTATGTAGAACATGTATGTTTTTATGAATTTGACACTCAGAGACAAAATTATTGCTACTGTAATGCTATAGTTTGGAGTTTGTAGGTAGCGTTGGCATGGATGCATTAATCTGAAGTACACACTCGTGTTCTTTTTTTCTCTCTCTCTCTGTCTCTCTCTCTGTCTAACACGGCAGAACAATCAAACATCGTCTCTAACACAAGAATTTGAAATTTACATCAAAGAAAATTTTAACTAACATTGAAATAAAAAATAAATGAGTAATAATCCCGTTCTTAAGCATGATTTGAGTTGGATTCATTTTACCAGAAGAAGTCCAGTAATGTAATTTGTCTGTGACCCCATTTACACCTGGTCACTTCATACGTTTTGAGTATCAGGATTATATCTGGATAGGGCCAAGCCACATAGAAATACAAGTGTGAACGCACCCAAGGCACATTTAAAACAGATACAAATCTGATTGCTCAAACCACTTAAGGAGGTGGTGTGGGATACATTTTAGCCACATTTTATAGCAGCGTAAATGCATCAGTCTCCCCAAGACTCATCACGGAGGACACTCATGGTTGGGTACCAGACAAAACAAAATGCCTAATAACAATATGGAAAGACACTACTGTGCAAAACAAACTGTAGACCACATAATAAACAACTGGTAACTGGTTGTTGCGTAATGAGCGGATTTGCATATTCTCTGCCCCACATAGCAAAAGGATTTCAGTAACTGGAGACACATTTGACGACCAAATGTAAATGAATATGGGTAAAATCTTATTAGAATGCAACTCAGATACTAGTCACATGAAGTGACCAAATGTAAACGCAGTCTGTGATTTGACTAGCCGATTCATGCATCTTGAGTATCAGGATTATATCTGGATAAGGTCAAGCCACATAAAAATGCAAGTGTAAATGCACTCAGGACACATTTAAAACAGATATAAATCCAATCGCTCAAATCACTTTACAAGGTGTTCTGTGACGCACTTGAGCCACGTTATAGCAGTGTAAATGCATCCGTCTCTCCAAGACACATTTGACAACCAAACCCCCCTTGGTACAACCGAAACTCCTCCCTGTACAACCAAAACCCCTCCCAGTACAACCAAATGTCATGTATGTCACTGGCACATGTCTGCGAGACAGATAATCATGGAGGACGCACATGGATGGGAACTGGAGCAAACCAAAATGTTTAATAACAATATGGACAGATATTACTGTGCAAAACAGACTGCAGATGAAGGCTGAAAGGATAAACAATTGGTTATTCGTTGCCACGTAATGAATTTGCACATTCTGCAATGCACATTCCACACAGCAATCGAATTTCAGTCCGACTAACTGGAGACGCATTTGACAACTAAGTGTAAACGCATGTGACTAAAATCTTATCAGAATTTTTTTTTTTAAACTGAGGTGCCAGAATGTAACTGCACCATTTGAGGAGGAATGGGAAAATTCAAACAAGAAGATCGCAGATATAAAGCCAACTTCAACCTAATCCATTTTCTCTTACCCCCAGGTAATAGAGTTTTAGACTACTAAAGCCCTATTCGAGCAGGATTAGTATTACTTGGGGACATGAAGTAATTTGAGTGATTACCAAAGAGCTGCATGATTTTAATCCAGTACCAATCTGCCATGTCCTTAGTTTACTGGGTTATAGAACACAGAAGAGGCTGAAGGTTTCTTCTTATTCACCAGCTTCTTGTTCACATTTTTCCGTTCTACCCTAAATGGTGCAGCAGTTACATTCTGGTGCCTAAATTAAAAAAAAAATCTAACAAGAAGCTGGTGAATAAGAAGCTGACTTCAGCTTTATAGAAAATGGCACCCCCCTGTATTTTGTTTTTTGTGACCTGAAGACAATGTTAACAGCTAAAATGGAGCTCAGTTTGGCCCAGTTCATTAGCTAATCCTCTAGTTCATGACAAGAAGACTGAAAATCACAATGTTTTTGTTATTTATGTTATTTAGACTAACTTACTTACTGATGGTATGGGGATAAAACATAATCTGTTATATACTTTATTAAACAAATGTCCCAAAACCGCAGTAGGACAGCTTCAACTATTTTGTGTTGAGTCCATGGTTTGTTTGTTTCGACTTGATGGCGAACATGACGTTGACATTCGATGCTATGCTATGATGCTATGATACTACATTTGAGTGCTCCTTTGCTGTTAGGACACAGTGTTATATAGAATTGTATTTGCTGAAAACGCATTGGATATGTGCAGTTTGCTTCTCTAGTTTTTAAAATATTTCATGTTAAAAGTGAATTACATATATGCTATACTGTGCACAGTTACTTAGTTAAACTTTTTTCACTTTAAGATTTCTAATTCATGGTGAGATCATTGCTTGAAAATCTGAATGTATCTATAATTGTATTGGATTAAGAAATAGAACTATGTTATATAATTGGACAGGTTTTCTAGAGTTTCTAGTGTAAATTATGCTTTTCCCTGCAATAACTGAAGTCACACAAGTACCATGTTGTTTGGTTTAAGCATATGTAATGCATTCTGAGAAGAGGTCAGAGAGAGTATGCTCAGCTGGGTAATTGTCTGTTTTTAATTGGATCTAGCCAGTTAATGTGTAGATGCACTGTTACTGAAGAATGCACTCAGCCAAAAATCTTGCCATCAAAAGGATAACATGATAGCAGTATCATAGCCTTGACTGCCAAGAGTAAAGCTAATGGTTTGCAAATATTCTCTTCTTACTGCACCTACACTCCCCTCCCCACCCCCTAAACACACAATACAAACAAAACAACTGATTTAGCAGTGTGCAAACAGACAAAAACAAACAAGATGCAGAGTCCTTGATATTTACTGCAGATAGAATCCAAATCCTTTCCAGCAAATGTGGCTGCATGTAGTCATCTATGTTATGTAAATGATAATTCCTGTAGCTGTGCTTACTTACCACAGTCATGTTCTGTTCTCTCAGAGGTGCTCCTTTGTTGAGCTGTGTTGCTTCACTTGGCTGGCTGTAACAGATATTTAGACTTTTGTGCATAGTTATGAGATTTGTAGCATTCATGAGAAACAACCATGACAAAAAATATAGTCAAATATATGACTTGAACAACTGAAAATGAACATGCTTTAAATCTGATGCTGCAAAGAACAACTTGTTATCCAGTTAGAATAGTAAAATAAATACATACACTTTGCATTATTGGAAAAAGCTGAACAAATGTCTACTTTCTCTGATTCAAAAGTGCAATAATCATGTAATAATATCTTGAAATATTTATGGACTCTGGTACCTGGTAAATTGATTATTTCTGAGAAAGCAGAGGATCATTCAGGGTTTATGAGGTGAATGAATTAGAGCAGATTTTCTAAATCTAAAGCAGTTGCCATAGTTCCGAATGATCTTTTAAGGGAAAAAAGCATGTATGTCTGGGTGAAGCTTGTAATAAGACTGAGTCATGAGCTGAGGAGTAAACTGATTATTTTCCCCAGAGTACATAATGTTTAATTAATCATGGCCTGCAGAAATCTGTCCTTTGCAATGAACATTACTAAATTTATGATTGCAATGTTGGATGAGAACTGAAGAATGAAAATTTCCCAGTGGATGAATTCAAATACTGCTTTAATAATTTTAAAATGTCCTTGGAACAGCTTATTTTTTGAAGCATCTTTTCTAGCACAGCTTGTTGAATCCAAGAAAATCTGCCCAGTACTGGCAGTCAAACAGAAGTTGATTCTCAGATTATGTGGACAGCTTTGTGCTGGATTTGCTGGATCTTGCTGTTATATTGCTGTCTGTTGTTGTGTTTAATTAATATGTTAAACCCAAATAATCTGGGAGTAAAATGATCTTGTGAATAGAAAAGGAAAACATTGCATCAGTAGGCCATGCAGTTAGAGTAAATAGCAGTGACTCTTTATATTACTTATTTTCTCTCCTAGGGTGAGTGCTCCCAGAGATGCTACAACATCTTTGTGCTTGAGACGGTGTGTGTGGGATGGTTCTCATTAGAATTTTTGTTGCGCTTCATTCAGACACAGAGGAAATGTATGTTCCTGCGCACACCTCTCAACATCATTGACGTGGTTGCCATCTTGCCCTACTACATCACTCTGATTGTGGACTCTCTGTCGGTGGGAGACCGGCCCACTACCTCAGGAAACAACTACCTGGAGAAGGTAGGCTTGGTCCTGCAAGTCCTGCGAGCACTGCGCATTTTCTACATGATGCGATTAGCTCGTCACTCTCTGGGCCTTCAGACGCTGGGGCTGACGATACGCCGATGCACACGTGAGTTTGGCCTGCTGCTGCTTTTCCTGTGTGTCGCAATGGCACTGTTCTCACCACTGGTCTTCCTAGCTGAGAGTGAGATGGGTGCCAAGCAGGAGTTCACCAGCATTCCTGGGAGCTACTGGTGGGCTGTCATTTCCATGACAACGGTGGGCTATGGTGACATGGTGCCACGCAGTATTCCGGGACAGGTCGTGGCACTGAGCAGCATCCTTAGTGGTATCTTGCTCATGGCATTCCCAGTCACATCTATATTCCACACCTTCTCCCGCTCCTACCTGGAGCTGAAGGAGGAGCAAAGCCGTGCTACACTCCACAAACCCCATTTGCAGGACAGCACCAAGTCCCAGAACAGTGAAGACTCGCAAGACACAGACAGCTCCCTCCATGGCATCACAGATCACACAGCAGCTGCCAGGGAGCAGCACTGAACCCATGCCAATGCAAAAGTCCTAAGAGATTAGAAGATCACAAAATACTTAACAAAAATAAAATGTAGAAAATTGTGTGTTGCCCTACCACATCTGCTTGCAGTGCCCTCCAAAGATAGAAATATGAATTAAAACAAGTAAAATTAGAGAAAATGGCAAATGTGAGTCAAAAGTAATTGTTGCCCTTGACATTCTGTGTAAATTTCATAATGAATGGACCAAAAGAAATAGTCCAAAATTTTTCTGAAAAAGTCTGGTTAACTTGAAAGTAAAGTATATGTTTTCTTTCTCCTGTGAAGTTATCTTTTTGGAGATACGAGGTTTTGTTCCAAGAACAGCGATATGTTTAAGTGTTAAATCTATCTTCATTGGTCCTTTTTCCACATTTGTTTTCCACAAGTTTGTATTGTCATCTTGTCCTGTCTGTAAAATGCAGGTGCATAACTGTAATTCTAGCCTGTTGTAATTTTTACTGCATGTGGCCACTTTACAGCTCAAGGGATGTGCAACAAATAGTTTGTTCCATGGGCCACTGGGCCCAGTATTGCTATATCAAACTCAAAATCTCATAGGCCCAGTAATAACCTGATGTTAAAGTTTCTCTACCACTTCCTTATTGTTCATACTTAATGAAAAATAGGCCCAGTATTTTTTGAGTGCACTGTCATGAGCTGAGTTAAATGCCACACAGAGGAGGGTTTAGAAAGGACAAAGTGGAGCTAATCTCATGTACTGTAATAAGTCTTTACAACCCCAATGCAAAGCACAACTCTTAAGCAATGGCATGGTGAACACTGCTATTCAAACCTATGACTGTCATATTATTTTGCATCTACCGTTACAGCACGAATATCTTTTTTCTGACTAAAGATGATTTTTCAAAATTTGATGACTTGCTTCTAAATGCAGTAGACTCAGGATTTTTTATTCTTTAAACACACTCTTCAGGCTCTGGAGTAGGACAACAATCATATCAGTATTTCCAAAGCGTGAAAATTTTTTTCAAAGGGCCAGTTTATCTGTGGTACTGTTGTTTTCACTGCCAGTGAAAACAACAGTACAACAGATAATAGGAGACAAATGAATGAATGTGTAGAGAAACATACACTGTATGAAGTGGAAAAGGGAAGAGATTGATTTGAAATGTTTTTGAGGTTTGAAATTATGTAAAATGTTGCTTTTTTTCATCTAATCTTTTCATTTTGCACTTTGCACTGTATGATTCAAAGTATTTATTAGAGCTGAATAAAACCAATGAAATTACTTGTTACCACATGAAGTAATTTTTTCTAGAGTGCACTGACAAATCGTTTTTTTAACATTTGATGTACTCAAGCAGTTAACATCCTGCTCTGTGGCATGAATAAAATTTAAGCTGACCAGCTGACCTTTAATGTGGATAAAGATGGCAAGAGTAAACAATCTTTGACATGCATTCATTATTAGAGCATGGGTGGAAGGAGCTTCTGTTGAGAAAGCTTTTTAACTGGCTACTGTTTCAATAGGAACATGATATCTGTGTTTAGATCTATGGGAAAGACATCAGTAAACAGGGGTGAAAATTGGGGTTGAAAACATTTAATGACAGCTCATGCATAGTGTCAAAGCAGGACATGATCAGACCGTGTCAGCAAGAACAGTCCATCCACAACTACACAGAGAGGGACATTATAGTAGGGCTGTGGTTCATCAATCCCTCATTACAAACATGAATGCACATTTGAAAGAGTGATGTAAAAACAATAGGCACTGGTCTACGGACATCCTTTACCATGTTCTTCAAGGGAGAGTACATGTGTGTCGTGCCAAGAACGGTCTAAGCCTAAATGTTTGTCCCATACAGTGAGTGGGGACATGGTTGCTGGTTTAGGTCCAGTTGTTTTCTTAGAGGTTATCGTCTGTGGTGTAATTTGGTTTTCATTTTCTTTTCTTGTCATCTCCACTAGTGCTTTGACAGTTGCACCTCTTCAGAGATCCTACCTTTCATTTCCATCACTGTTATGTGTTTATTGTGTATTTATGCTACAAAGCATATGGCATGTCAGAATGAGGAAGCACACTGGCATGTCAGAAAATTCTGCCACCTGATGCACCTCATAATATGTATTTTTGTCCTTATTTAGTTTAGGCATTCTGCATATGGCATGTCAGAATGAGGAAGCACATTGGCATGTCAGAAAATGTCTGCCACCTGATGCACCTCATATTATGTATTTTTGTCTTTATTTAGTTTACGCATTATGCATTACTTAGTTTATAAAACAGACACATTGCTTCATTTGTATGGATAGAGATATGAAGAAGAATACTATCCAATTCAAGCCAAAATAGAAAGCTATTTTGCTTAGTTAGAATAAGTAATGTTCTGTGTTTGACCTGATTACAAAGTTCATATATGCATGGACCATATGCACACACACCTAACCCACTTATCCTCCTGGGTTGCAGGGGGTGCTGGAGCCTTTTATATGCAGTTAATGCAACAAAAGCAAAGAAACACTAGCCTGCCTTGCCTCTATGTTATAAATGAAACTTTCAACACATATAGGCTATGCAATGATTATTTGTTGACTTCTGCTGTAAATCATGAATAATCCTTTCTCTTTCTACTAGATCATTTGACATTTTTGAGGTAATTTGCTAAAAATATTATCAGATATTTATAGTAAATATTTAGTGACAGGCAACAGAAAGGACAACTGCCAGAAAAAAACTGAATCACTTCACTGAATATGTATTAGAAAACAGATTTTAGCATTTCTGTTAATGCTATTATTTCTTGTTGTGTTTTAATATTGAAATGTAAATCATTAGACATTGTGACAAATGCTAATTAAATGCAGCAGCATGTTTTTGCCTCGTTTTAGGTTGCTGCATGCGACAGCCTACCATCACTGGTCTCTTCTACTTGTCAGACCAATTTTACACCTCTGCTTAGAGCAAACATGTAAGTACTGACATTGCACATAGTTTAGTCCAAAACTTTTTTAGCATCAGAAATGAAGTAAGAACATCACGATTTGATGAGGATATGCCTGGATTACATGTTCCCCAACGAAACCTTTTCACCATGTGAAAAATTCAATGCCCCACCATTCTCATGGCAGTTTTTCATTTGATGGAGGAAGTAATGCTTAGAGCCTGTTGTGACTGGCTGTCAATCATTATTTCAATTAAGCAGAGGTGTAAATTTAGTCTGACAATAGAAGGGACCAGTGACGGTAGGCTGTCACATGCAGCAACATAAAACAAGGTAAAAACATGCTGCTGCAAGGGATCCTTGATACAGTGTATCATCTGTTTGACTGGTCGCAACAAGTCTGTAGATCATCACGTAAAGCTCCAATTTATTGAAGAATAGGCCATTGTGAAAGAAAATTTCCACAATGAGAAAAATGAAATATTAAAAACAAGGGATTAACACAGAATACATTTATGTACTTACAATTACTTTTATAATTCATCACTTGCATTTGTAATTGTTTAATTCTTTTGGAGTAATGTTTTTATTCTTACTTCTAGGAGCCACCTTTCGATGGCAATATCTCTATTTGCAGGGCATGAGAGGTCACTGAATGATTTGATGAGTATGAAAATAATGAAAAAAGTCACCAGATATCAGCCTAGCTGAACATATGACGGTTTTTAGGACCGACGTGTCAGGCAGCTCTCTCCAAAATCATCCTCAAAACACCAACTGAGGAAATATCTTTTGGAAAAATGTTTTTCCATTCCTTTCCATACAGTTCCAGAGAACTTTTGCAGTTGCAGTGCGTGATGAGATAAGCCAGTGAGGGTTACAAGGAGTCATAGAACACGGAAAAGAGAAAAAAGTTCACTTCAGTTCCAGTTCAAAATACCTTTTGATTCAACCACCCAATGATTCAAATGATTAAAACATCTTTACACATAGCACTGTTTTTTTGGTCAAATAAAAAGGAACATTTTGTGTGTTGTAATCCCTTGTTGCACTTACTTTCATGCCAACTAAACTGTCAGCTTGCAATCTCTAATAAAAATTTGTAGTATATTTACTTATTACACCATACGTGTGACAAAATGACTTAGAAACACTGATGCTCTACCATAAAGTGCTTACATTTGCAGCAAATAAACATTCCAATATGCCAAAAGGCTTGAGATTTGTCAATAGAGATATGATCATTCAAATTGGCTGTAAGCTGGTGCTCTCTCATTAGTACATACCATATCGTCACTGTCCCAAAAAAAAACAAACAAAAAAACAAACAAGTATCTTCAAAATGGCAACTTTACAAGAGAAAGCAAAACATGTCTAATCTTTTAATTTAAGTCAATGTAAAGGAGTGTTATGTTTTTTATTTCTATTGGCTCAATCATCATTAAGTTTTTACACAATTTGACAGCTGCCATGTTCAAACAATGTAGACAAGTAAAAATCAACAAAAATGAAGATACATGATCTGTATGGACAGACATATACAGATGACAAATTTACTAAGTATGATAAATGAACATGTTAAATGGAGTGATTTTTATATATATGTTTAACTATAATAAACATGTATTAATGTTTAAAAATAAATAATAATAATAATAATAATAATAATAGGGCAACAATCAAAATTTTCTTGAAAAACTGCTATTTAAAAACACATTCTATCACTCACTCCACATCCAAGCCACTAATTCTCCTGGGTTGCAGGAGCCCATCACAGTGCTCATTGGGCAGAAGGAAGAAAACGCCCTGGACAGGTCACCACTCCATCACTGGACAGACATACAGGCATACACATTCACACCTTGGGCAATTTAGTATCTCCAACTGGCCTGACTGCATGTCTTTGGACTGTGGGAAGAAACTGGAACACCCAGAGTAAACTCATACAGACACAGGGACAACATGGAAACACCACACAGAAAGGACCACTTTCGTCCTGCCAGGGAACTGAACCCAGACCCTATTTGGTGTGAGGCGACAGTATTACCCACTGCGTCACTCAAAAAAAATATTTTTTTATTTTACAAGTATTTGTTTGCGCCTCCAAAAATAAAAACAACAACAAACACACAAAAACAAAAACACATTTGTGAAAGAAGGAAAAAAATTGTAAAAGGAGGAGTAGGAGTAACCACACTGACACAAGTCATTCCTGTTTTGGCAATAACACGTGATATGTAACAAAGAAAACAAAAGGCAAAAACTGTGAATTATACAGATGACTTAAAATATCAGCGACATAATAAACAAAACATACTGCAGCTGCACAGTTTGTCAACCACCCTCAATGCTGTCCATCAATGCTGACCATCATAGGACAACCACTGATCAGATATTATGTGAGTGGGGGATCATTCTCACCACAGCAGTGACACTGATACGGTAGTGACATGTTTCTTGTTGTAGCAACCTCAGTGTGACTGCTGAGCTGAGAATAGTCTGCCAATCAAAAATATCCAGTCAACACTGGTCCTGTGGTCAGAAACTAACCACTGATGAAGGGCTAGAGGATGACTAACATACACTGCTCATGAATAAAGATAAGCTACAGACTCTGACGGACAAGGTGGTGGCTAAATCATGCGGCACCAGATGGGCTAACGTTAGTAACTGTAAACCTATAAAGTGTCTCTATGACGTGTGTTTTGTGAAATGGCTAATGAATGTAGGCAACAAGACCTAATAAACTGGCAGTTTACATCCTAGAAATGCAAATGATGACTTGACTGACCAGAATGACATGCAGAAATACAGAAATAAAAGTAAAAGATAACGAAGAAAGAAATTACAGGAAAAATAAAACACTTGGCCTAGATGTGCCTGATTCCCCTGTTCACACCACAAATTTATACAAGTTTTTAAGGCAGCCATGTTTTTGTCACATAAAAAAGAACATATGATATACAGTTCATTTTAGCATGCCCAGTTCGATAAAAAAACCAAAACTTCTTTCTGAATATTTCAAAGAAAAATGATCTGTTTCCAGCTGTTTACACATATAATATAGAGATAGAGCCACATTTCCCTGAGGGACCATTTAAAACCAACTCAAAGTAATATCCTCTGACCTAAAACAACATATTCAAACAATGGCTCAGCAAAATACCCCAAAATATAAAATATACAAATTGAGAATCTTGTGATTTTTACTGAAGAGGTAACAGATAACTAAATTTCTGACATTTAAGAAAACATCAGTGGCTTTTCAGGAACATTGTGACCCTTAAACTACACCCGGTTAAATACTTTTTCCTCATCCATAGCTCATTCAATCTAATTTAAACAATCTAATCACCAACATTCTTAACCTTAAATACTACAGTAAATAGCACCTTCAGTAAGTACATACATAGTTCATAGACATAGTACACTATGTTTGAAACTTTGGCCTCAAAAAAACCCTTGATTCAACCACCCAATGATTCAAATAATTAGTTTCTTTCTTTTCATGCTTTCTCCATCTATAAAACATCATAATGCACTCCTTAGAGTGCAATTGAAATTGTTACAAAAGACACCATAAAGGGGACAATTTTTACGCATCTTGTATTCTAAGCAAAACTAAATGTTGAATTATTGTCATCACAGATAACAATATACATTCATTGTTATGTTAGTGGTAGGGGTGGGCAATACTGATGAAATTCAATATTTTCCAAATATATCATATCGGATGATATTTGAGGAAGTTCACCTTAATAAAGAAACCTATGCTTCCTGAGTACTGCTACTTTTTGCAAAAAAGAATGCATTACAAACGTACAGTTTTGTTTGGAACTAGACTGTTTTGTTCTGTTTTCTATTGTAGCTAAGAAGACCCAATGAACTGCAAACAAAAACGAACTGCAAAAACACTTATCAAAATGACAACAGTGCTCTACAAACACGTAAATTTTCTGCAAACACAGAAAACTGGCTTTGCAGTGTTTAAGTTACACGCATTTTCTGCATTAGCATGTTTGTGAAATGTAGCGCTGATGCAGTCATTTTGATGAAAGTGTTTTCTGTATTTGTAGCATGATTGTGAAATGCAGTGTAGGTGTAGTCTTGTTAAGGAAAGTGTTTTCTGAATTTGCATTGCATTTATGAGTTCGCAACACATTTTTAATTGTACTGTGCGTAGGGTCTTGTCGGCCACTGTAATGTTCTTCTCCTAAAACTACACTAATGAGAGTCTTACAAGGTATTTTAATTGTTAACCAGACAGAAAGCAAATTTCTAAAAAATTTACAATGTATTTATCTTTGGTGGATTTTAAACTATTATTGCAAAACAATCTGAAGGTCACAGTAAATTACATACATTGGAGTTAACTGTCAGGTCCCAGTATTATGAGCACAGCGCACAAAATTAAATTGCAAAAAAAACTGCTTGACAACAGGGCCACATTATTTGATGGGCACATTATCTATCCAAATAAAATGCTAAAATATAGATAAAACTGAAACAACATACGGTATGTCAGTATCAGGTTTTACAAATACAGACTGTATATTGACAAGTTAATGGTCATGTGAAAACAGCTGAAAAGTATATTACTGCTTTTGTGAAAGTAAAGTAGCCCTTTTTGAGTCTCTAAGGTACACATTTTCATCCTCAATAATTGTTGGCTTTGGCCACACAGCTTTGACCACTATACAAAAGCTGCATGTACATCATACTGCATTTACTGAGGCTGTGTGCATGCAGACATAGAAGCATAAACATCATCCCTTGCCTATCTCTGCATATACACACAAGCATGTACAAAATATATTAAATAAGGATCCATCAGTTCAGAATATAAAAAAGGGACAAGAGTTCGAGTCCACCATCAGGCAACAGTCTTCTCACACTCCATGCATGTGTCCTGTGTGCATGTTTCAGAGTGCCTTGGCGCTGGTGGTGTGTGTGGTGTGTGAGGCAGGTTTCTGGGGGTAGCGGCTGTAGTAGTACACCTGGGACAGGATGGCAATATCCACAAACACCTGCAGCAAGCCACAGATCCAGAACTGCATAGGAGCCTGAGTGAGTAGAAAGTAGCCTGTCTTAAAGGTGTCTCCACTTGTCCACATCAACACCATTTTGATGCTAAAGAGACAGAGGAAGGGAGAGAGTGTGGGAGAGAACAAATTATGACATTTTTCATGTTCATGGTAAATGTCATTGTAGCACAAATTGTAATGAAAAGGTAAGAAAGTACAGTTTCTTTTCTGTACCAAATACAGAACTGCTTGTTGTTTGTCAAAACAAACGGCAGCAAAAAGTGATTTACCTAGAGACAAGCGGAAGAACTCTAATAAAAACAATATATATTTTACTTTGCATTATTTTTTTTTACAATGTGCACCAACTACCACAGTCAGTAAACGCTTCCCAGAATCCAATTGGCCCCATATGTCTAACGTCTACTTCACTGGCCTAACTTAGCTCCAGATTCTCAGGAACCCACAGAAAATAAATAATTAAAAAGAAAGTCAAGTCTTGTTGGGTGTTTGGGCAGAGATGTCCCTTTAAGGCAGGAAATGCCACTTTAGAGTATCACCACTGAATTTGAGCCAAGGTAATGAAAGGAAGGAAATAACAGAACAGAGAAAGGCTGTGTGTTCTGACAACACTCAAAACACACACTATCCCAAAGGATTCTAACAGTCCCAGTTATAGCTCTTTTCTTCACAAGGCATGCAATCCTCTCAGGGTGAAAAAGGTAACATGAAAGGTTATTTCAAGATAATGTAAAGCAACGATAAAAGACAAAAAGACTGTAATGGCATCTAGACTGACGTTCATCTTTAATGATGTTGAGTAAAGTCTCTGAAGCGAGCCAATACTCAGGGCTAGAAACTAAACACTCTCACACACTCAGCCAGTCAGCTAAGCTCAGTGCCTCTGACAAGAGAGAAAAATAACAGGATTAGTGCTACAAGGAAAAGCGAATGGTGCAAACCTGGCAGACATTTTTTTATTATCTGACATTTTAAATTAAGAAAACAAAATTCATGCACTGCACTGTTTCAGCAGTTTAAGCTTACACTAAACCATACAACATTATTCCACTGCCACTGTCCCATAAGAATGGGAATTCATCAGGAGGTAAACCTACAAACCTAAATTCCACATTTTTGTGAAAACCACTGAGATATGTTTTTCCACCCAGAACATATATTGCATATCCACTACATCAAGGAATTAAAGTAATGAATATGAGCAAGATAAATGCTGTTATTACAATATGAAAATGACAGCAACTAAGCAGAGAAACAATTTAAATTAACAAGTAAGATACTGTGTAGTTGAAATTAACATGAGGCGACAACTGAAAGGCACGGAGCTCAAACACCCAAACACTGAAGACAGCTGAATTATGAATAGCCTTCAGAGTACAGCAAAAAAGTAGCACACACAAATTCAAATAAAACCTCTGACAAGCCTGAGATGTCTAGCAGTTACTATGATTTATTCTCTCAGAAAGTGAAGTAGCTTTGAAAGTGCTGTTATGGCAACTTAGCAGTGTTTGAACAGTTGTATTTATTCTTCTAGTCTGCTTCTTTAAATTGAACATCTCAAAAGTGGAAGCCAACCAATGTCAGGTTGATGGAGGGTTGGCAGAAATAAAATTTAAAATAGAGCATGCTCTTTCACCAAACCATAACCCACATGAAAGAACAAAATGAACTGCCGATACTACAGAGGGCGATAATAACTCTGGTAGGCTCTCTCCTAGTGAAACAAATTAAGGATCAAACCTAGATCAGGCCTTTTAGCCTAAGAGAAAAAAAAAAAACAAAACAATGTGAGCAGATTAAGGACACAGGTCTGCCACAATCAGCACCTTACAAAAGCATTTGGTCACAAACTAAGCAATGAAAAATGTGCCATATTGTTGCTATAGAAACCATGAATCATAAACTGCCAATGACCTAAATGTCACCCTGAGTGTGATAATTTCACACAATCAAAGACCTCTTACAGAGGTTGAAGAGTTAATACAACATTACAAACCTGCTACGATATGGTGTAAAAGGGAGGCAAAAACCAATGTCACCAAAAGGACAAATTTCTGCAGTTTGAAAACTGTCCAAACTTACCTTCTGTTTGCATTCGCATCCTGTCTACTAGTCATGGTAATAAAAAAAAAACCAACACTTAAGGATTTATCAACTAAGTTTTAAGAATACACACACACACACACGCATCTTCTAAGCCACTTATGCTTCTGGGTCGCTGGTGGGGGTTTAAGAATAATGAACCCTAATCCTATTTATAATACTATACACTTGAAAAGACTTAATGGCTGACAGAAACATGGAGGAAAAACTGATATATGTTGATCAAGCACATCCAGACAGCAGCGTTGTTACGAAGCATAGGCTGTGCTTCCCTACCATGCTGGTCGCCACTACAAGCAATCAGTGGCTGCAGTGTTCCCAGAACAATTCTGGAGAGCTTCTTAGTGCAGGCCGGAGAATGCAGCACAAACACCCACACAGCAAAGGAGCCACATGCAGTGACAGCACTGAAACCAGATGAAAGAATGTGGGAATAAAATGTCTCAAAGCCCTAGTAAAATAGGAACACTAAAACAAAAGATGCCAGAACATTATGACTGTAGTAATGCAGTCATAATACATAATGCAGTTAATGCAGAGTTAGTGTGCATAGTACACATGCAAACTAACTCTGACATGACACATTTCTCTGGTGAAATACCAAAAGCCTACCAGGCAAGTGAGAAATTTCTTCTCCCTTCATACTGTGAATCAGAGCAGCAAAGGGATAGCAAGGAACTCAAGAGAAAAGTAACAAGAAGAGAATTAACAAACAGGGTATTAATCTTAACAAGGTTACAGTTTGTTACTTATAACCGTATATACATATAAACTGAAGATAAACTAAAGATAAAAATATAAACTCTATCCTTCACAAAAATTACCAATATAAACAAATACAAAAAGCAAAATAATCTTTACACTATAAGGATATTTAGAAGTATTGCACATGGGGTACGATTATATTTCACACAGGTATGGTGATAAATTCACAGTTAATTTGTGAGGTGGAGGGTGGGGGATCTACTGGGAGCTGTGCTGGTTGTACGGTCTAACGCAGGAAGGAAGGACCTGCGATAGTGCTCCTTCACACACTTGGGGTGAAGCAGCCTATCACTGAAAGAGCTGCCCAGTGTTGTCAAAATCTTGTGCATGGGGTGGGAGCTGTTCCCCAGCATGGATGCAAGCTTAGCTAACATTATCCTGTCTCCCACCACCTGCACTGGGTCTAGAGGGCTTCCCAGGACAGAGCTGGCCCTCTTAATGAGTTGGTGAAGTTTCTTCCTGTCCACAGTTGAGATGCTGCTGCCCCAGCAGACCACTCCATAAAAGATGGCTGATGCCACCATAGTGTCAAAAAAAAGTCCTCAGGAGTGCCCCCTGCACTCCAAACGACCCCAGTCTCCTAAACAGGAGACTTTCCTGTAAAGTGCACTAATGTTATCTGACCAGTCCACTCGATTGTTTGGGTGAAAACCCAGGTACTTTTAAGAGTCCAACCTCACAATGTCTGTTCCCTGGATGTTGACTGGTGGAGGTGTCTGCACCTGCCGAAATTCACCACAATCTCTCTGGTCTTTCCCGCATTGATCAGGAGGTGGTTCCGCAGACACTAGTCCACAAAGTCCTGAGTCAGGTAATCTGTAACGAGGCCGACAATCACGGAGTCATCAGAAAACTTCTGCAGGTAACAGTTCGGTCAGCCATATATAAAGACAGCAGTGTACAGGGTGAAAATGAATGGTGCCAGGACTGTTCCCTGTGGGCCCCCTGTGCTACTGACCACCATGTCAGACACAAGGTCCCATGCCCTCACTTTCTGTGGTTGGTGAGGTAGTCCAGAATCCAGTTTGATAGGTGGTGATCCACTCCTATGTTCTCCAGCTTGTCCCTCAGGAGCCCAGGCTCTATGGTGTTTAAAGCACTGGAGAAATCAAAGAACAAGATTCTTACAATGCTCCTAGGTGTCTCCAGATGAGAAAGAGCTCTGTGTAGGAGGTAGATGACGGCGTTGTCCATTCCAATGCCAGGTTGGTAGGCGAACTGAAGTGGGTCCATAAATGAGCTCACCAGAGGACAGAGATGGGTAAGGACCAGACTCTCTAGGGTCCTCATCAGATATGAAGTCAGTGCCACCGGCTTGTAGCTGCTGAGGCCCTTCTGGGTGCTGCGTCTTCGGCGCTGGTACCACACAAGATGTTTTCCATACTTGTGGTACTCTCCCCAGCTTCAGGCTCATGTTGAACATGTGCCCAACTATTCCACACAGCTGATCTGCGCAGGACTTAAGGAGCCTGGCACTGATGCCATCCAGACGCGCAGCCTTCCTTGTTTTGACCTTTCCAAGCTCCTTTCTCACCTGGGCTGTTGTAAGGGACAGATTGGAGTAGGGTCCTGAGTGCTGGAGTATACGGGTAGGGGGGGTTGGGCTGACAGCAGGGGAACCAGTAGGGGGTGGCTGTGAGATGAGAGTTGTGGAGAAGGGGTGTATGTGGGAGAGGGGGCAGGGCAGCACACTGGGAATGCAGAAGAGGGGGGTTGCAGCAGGGATAGCTGTGTAGGGGTTGGTCTATTAAGATTGAGATCATTCAACTACTTTTGGTCCCCTACAGCCTGGGAGTTGGGCTTCTTGTGGCTGGAAATTGTTTTAAGACTTTTCCAGACCCCACTAAAGATGTTTTCTTGCGGCTGTTCCTCCATCTTCATCTTGTAGCTGGCTTTCCCCTTCTGGATTTTCCTTCTAAGATCCCGCTGCACAGCTCTCAGCTGGATACTGGCCCCCCTGGCAAAAATCACAGCTTGTAAATGCTATTCGTAACCAGCTGGGAGTCTTTCTATTCATGTTTTAGGAATTTTCACTCACTCTTCCTTGCAGAACACTTGCCTTGTCTTGCATGCACAGATTTACTCTTAGATTTTCAATGATGTTCAAGTCAGGGTACTGTGAGGGCCATTCTAACATTCTAAGAGTTCCATTTTTACTTCTTCAGTCCATAGCACTTGTTTACAAAAAGCCTCTGGCTCATCTAGATGTTATTTTGC